CTTCCATACCCCAGACAAAAGCATATTAGAGAGAGAGCTTGAATATAAATCTCAATGTTCCACCTCAATCATTCCAGTTATATTTTAATTACAGTGCTAGAATCCAGATCTTAATTCTGGTTTTGACTTCTTCAGAGCTCTGTATTCAAACTTATTCCTCATTCTGCACTACCTGAACTAAGTAGTTATTCTGGGAAATAGCTGAATCCTCTGGCATAAACCCAGGCTGTGATTATTAGTTTACAGAGAAAATTAGTACAAAACAGTTCTGAAGCGTGCATAGTTTTCCTCTTTATTGCCCTCAGTCAGGGTGGTCCAGCATGTCAGCTAAAGAAATTAGGACCACATGGGTATATCTGCATAGAAAGCAGTTTTGCTACTGTGCCGAAGACCTATGTTACACAGATAACATCTCAAAACGCAAACTGGGTTTTGATAATACTGGTCCACAGCCTGTGCTTCGAGACTGTTCCCAAGAGTTCCCATAAAATCCCACAATAGCACCATGGCATTAGTCAGAAGCACCCTGGAGAATGAATTTAAGAGCCAAACATCTAGAGTTCAGGCCAAAATTGGGAAAGACCCAAAAACAGACTTAAACAAACAAAGTCTTTCCACTGCAGCCCAGGATAAGAGCAAAGGCTGAGTAACATCACACATCAGGGCTGGTAGACAGGACTGCAAGCAAAATTTCTGCCTCTCCCTCTAAATCAGCAGTATGTAATTATATCCCCTTTGAAACACACAGCTTCTTACAAACCGTGCTACTGTCTTGTAAATTGTGTTTTTGGACACTTTTTCTGCTGTCATTCCTTGCAGTGAATCACACAGAGTTCTCCAGAGCAGTTAAATAAATCAATAACTGGCATCCTTGATGCGCTGGCTGTCTCAGATCATCCATAGGGTCATGCTCCTTGTTATTAACACCTATCAAGGGATTTAAAAGTGCACATGGACCCAGACATGCCCTGCAAGGCCATACAATATTGATGGCCCTTTTAAACCTTCTTTCTAGCTGCTGCTGCACCCTTTTAGAATAACCTCGTACACTGTCCTGTTCCAGTGGCCACAAAGTGAAATACCGAATTGTACTGCAAACTAGATCACTGAGATCTCTAGAGCAGATGCATTGCTTTGTAGCTAATACAGATACCTTCACCTCATGTAGGGATATATAAAAATATTACTTAGAGACACATTTTGATTCATAACATTTCAAATATCAGATGTAGACACTGAAGGGCAATCAGCAAAATGAAAGCTGTGAGAGAAGAGACAGCTCTAAAATGCAAGAAGATAGATACCACTTCATGCTTCATGGTACTTAATAGCTAGAAAGGAAGAAGACAGGAAACTTTCTTTTTGTCCTGCATTGCTTTCTAGATCAATACAACAAAACTTTAGAGGTGCTGTGAGGTAGGAAAACTAAAACTCCCTGTTTCTAAGACACCCCAATGTACCATGACCTCCTGCTAGTAACACAGATGGTTTTACGCTGCTTACAGGCATAGAGTTCTTCTACTGATTCTACTTAAATCTTTAAAAACGTTCATACTGGTTTCAGAAATGGGCTCCTGTTCAGATTCTAAGTCGAAATGGAGATAAGGATTTTGATAGAGATGGAAAATTGTGGTGTGCTTTTAAATGTCGTGCCTTTTTGGTAGATTCCGCGAAAGCTGCAGGTACAATACAAGCACCTTTAGAGAATAGGACTCAGCTTACAAGCCTCATACAGTTGGCTTTGTCTCATCTGTCCTTGGCCTCCTGCCATTCTGGAGGCTGATCGAGGGGAAACGGGCTGAAAAACTAAGGAAGTTTATTTTTGACAATACAGTTAGTCAGCTCTCAGACATGCCTGGGGCCAAAGCAGTCCTAAGCCAGCCCCAGGTCTGGGGACCGAAACGTAACTTTTCAGTCACCTTTCCCTCCTTCCACATGTCTTGAGCTTCATCGGATGGAACAAGGAAAGCTCTGATCACAGCTTTCAGAGAGTTAATGTGGCTTTGACAGATCCCTCCCGTTGCAAGCACTAGTGTCTTTATAGCTAGAAATATTCTGCTTGTTTGCTTTAAGCCACAACTGAAAAGGTGCATTTCAGCTAGGAGAGAAGAGATAAATCGAGTCATGAATTGATGATCTTCGCCAGTTAACAAAAGGACTCAGAAACATTCCCAAATTTAGTTGCTCCTGGAAAACGTCTATCTCCCTGGTGCACAGGAAGTGCATTAAAGAAGTAATAAACACTCATAAAAAAGAACTTCTAATGATCTAACATTTAAGATCAGCATTCTTGTTCATTACCATAACCTTCTGCTAAATTATCACCACCAAGATTGCTCATGGGCTCAAAAGGTCATGTTATTTTTGCTGTTGAA